GTCCCCCCGTTCCTTCTTTGGCCCCGTTTGTATCCTGAGCATGATGTCCTGTGGTCTGGAACATCCCTGGGTCAGTTGGGGTCAGTCCCAGGCACCCCCAGCCCCTCCCCAGAGTGGCTGGACGAGGGCAGGAAAGGCCTTGGCAAGAACAAAAACATCTGAATTATCAGCCCTGTGCAGCCACTGAGAAGAGAAGGAAATTCACTCTGCCCCAGCTGAAAGCAGCACAGGACCCAAGGAATCCTCCCCAAACACCAGAGCAGGGTCAGGGCACTGCTGGGACCTCAATGCCTGGCAGGGCTTGTTTGGAGAGTTGAGCCCTTTGCTTCCAACAGGGCCTTAAAATATAAAAAGAACAAATTTTCAACACCACTCAGAGCCTCCATTCTCAAAGGTATTTAAGTGTGAAAATGAAACTCCTGAATCTTGCCAAGACCAGTGGTAAATACACTCAAATATCTTTAATAATCTGGGTTGTTTGTGCTGTTGAGCACTTTTCTCTTTTTCCTTTTTTTTTTTTTTTTTTTTTTTTAATTTAAAACTTACCAGGCTCAGCATTGCCCACGGCAGATGTGATTTAGGAATCCCAGGATGGTTTGGGTTGGAAGGGACCTTAAAGCTCTCCCAGTGCCAACCATGCCATGGCAGGGACACCTTCCCCTGTCCCAGGCTGCTCCAAGCCCTGTCCAGCCTGGCCTTGGACACTTCCAGGGATCCAGGGCCAGCCACAAATCTATTGCCAGGAGAGTTTTAAACCTGTACAAATCGCTGCCATTTGATGGTGCCTGAAAGAAAAGATCCAGGTTTCATAAACCACCACGACTCGTTCTCCCCTGTCTTTTCCTTCCCCACTGACAGATTAAACCCACACAAAATTCTGAGGGCAGCAGTGCAACCCTAAAAGCTGCAATGGCCAGGCTGGTGTCTGATGTAAATGAAACTTTGATTTAGTGTTGCCCCAGAAGTGTTCATCCTCTGCACGCTGAGCAAAATCCTCCCTCCCAGGTACCCCCGGCCTCGTGGCCCACATCAGCACAGAAAATAATGTCATCAGAGCCCTGCTGATGGAGGCACTTACAGGACAAAGGCCCTGCAGCAAGGTGGGGATTGGGTCATCCTTCCTGCTCATGTCAGGGTGCCATTTCTCCCTATTTTTAGAATTGTTCCCTTTGTACAGCAAATTGCTTAACTATAGAGACAATCTGGTGTTCACTGGCTCTGGGAGCAGGGACCCATCTTCCCTGGCTTCAGGAAATCACACAAGCTGCTGAAAGCTGGAGATGGATAAAACCTGGGTACACAGGAGCCTGCAAACCTCAATTTACACTGAACAACCTGAAGAGCTGCTGCAGCCCTGACTGAGCACAAAATAAATTTCTGCAGGTTTCTAAATTATCCCCTCTGCTTCAGAAGGAACTCAGGGATTCAATAAATCAGTACGGACTCTGCTCCTAAATTATTTTGATGCTTTTGGAACTCTTAGCACAGCTCCAAACTTCTCCACATTTTGAGGGAAGAGATGGGGAGCAATGGATTAAGAATTCTGGAGCCTTTCACACTGAGGATGTTCCAAACCATCCATCCCAGCCCTTTGTTATTCTCCACATTGTACATCGTGGTTGTCCCAGACACCTCAGCATGGACTGAAGCTCTTTGGCTTCAAAGCAGAGCAAACACAAGCTGTAAATTCCGAGTTTGAAGCCTAAATAAGGCAGGCAGACAGAGAACAGTTATTATTCCCGTGTTATTGGCAGGGAATTGAGACACAGGAAGATTAAATGACTGGCCCAAGGTCACCAAAGGAGCCTCCTGTAAAGGTGAGGGCTCAGCCTGGATTTCTGAAGTCTCTGCCCAGTACTTCAGCCATCCATTCACTTGCTCTTTAAGTACCCTGTCATTATTTCTGTGAAGGAAATTATGCTCCTCCTGCAGCAGCCAGCACCGTGTAATTCAGCTTGTCTGAAAGGGAATATGAAATGGCAGTTTCACAAAAAATTAACCCTCCTGCCACGCAGCCTGGCAGCCCTGTCACAACGTCTCATTTTTTATCTGCTCTTCCTTCCCTGGGGATTGAACTCCCCTCTTATTCCCAGAACTCTGGCTGGGTTTTTTTTCTGTGCTATCCCAAAAACCCTACACAACCCTGTGGGGGACCGTGGTCTGGAGGGGAGGGACGTGGGGGGTTTGAGCCCCTCGTTCCTGCCCCAGATTTGAGGATTCACCCACGTTCCTGAGCTGCTGCTGCCACGGGGAGGATCCCGGCAGCTCCTGGGAGGAGCAGCAGCAGCTGGAGCTCAGCAGGAGAACCTGAGAGCAGCCACACGTCCCTGTCACCCTCAGAGGGTGGCACAGATCAGAGGGGAGCAGCCACACGTCCCTGTCACCCTCAGAGGGATGGCACAGATCAGAGGGGAGCAGCCACACGTCCCTGTCACCCTCAGAGGGTGGCACAGATCAGAGGGGAGCAGCCACACGTCCCTGTCACCCTCAGAGGGTGGCACAGAGCCTTTGTTCCCAGCTGTTGTCTCAGTGGAAGTGGGAGCTGTCCAGGGAAGAGGCTCCAACTTTGGAACAGCCTGGGAGGGCTGGGGGTGTTCACCTGGAGAAGCTCCAGGGAGAGCTCAGAGCCCCCTCCAGGGCTTAAAGGGGCTCCAGGAGAGCTGGAGGGGGATTTGGGACAGGAGATGGAGGGACAGGATACAGGGAATGGCAGGGCTGGATGGGACATTGGGATGGAATTCCTCCCTGGCAGGGTGGGCAGGGCTGGCACAGGGTGCCCAGAGCAGCTCTGGCTGTCCCTGGATCCCTGGAAGTGTCCAAGGCCAGGCTGGATCAGGCTTGGAGCCCTGGTCTATAAAAGGTTGGGGTGAGGTCCTGAGGCTCCAGCACATTCCACATCCAGGGATCCACGGGGAGAGGCTGCTGTGACACTTCTCCTCCTGCTCTTTATTCTCTCATTACTGAGAAATTTCTCATTAATGGGAAAACCATTTCCATCAGCTGCACTTTACCCCACGATGTCTCTGAGCCCAGCCAGGAACGGGGGGTGGGCTCTGAGGTGGATTTGGGACCTAAAAACCTGTGTGGTGTTCTGGTGAATTCCTAATGGATTCAATGGAGGGAAAATTAATAGGAAGCTTTGGTTAATAGATACTTCAGATAAAAGAGCGAGTGCATCTGGTCACCATGGCAACACGAGAGCCAGCAGGAGAGGAAATGTCACCGTGTCTGTGCCTTGGCCTGCAGCACAGCCAGCCTGGAGCTGGGGTTTGCACTGGGTGTTCTCAGAGGGGACAGGAACAGGGACAAGGACAAGGCACTCCCAGACACACCCAGAGGGTTCACAGTGTTCAGATGGAACTCGTGAGGCTTTTTCTGGGTGATGAACTTGTGCCCAGAGTTGTGTGTTCTCACAGCCCTGAGGGAGAGGTTGGACCTGGTGATCCCGGAGGGCTTTTCCAACCTCAAGGATCCCCCCCTGGTTCCTCCTGTCCTGACGTGCAGGGAGCTGCCCTTGCACAGCACAGACACACTGGAGATGTTTAAGGGACCTTTGCCCCTTTTCTTCTCAAACACAAAGTTGCTGTGTCACAGAATTCCAGGAGGTTTTGGGCTGGAGGGACCTTAAAGCCCACCCAGTGCCACCCCTGCCATGGCAGGGACACCTCCCACTGTCCCAGGTGCTCCAAGCTGTGTCCAACCTGGCCTGGGACACTGCCAGGGATCCAGGGACAGCCACAGCTGCCTTTTCATGGGAAATCCATCCTACTCCCACAGGGAACAATCCCCAGGCACAGACCTCGAGTGGGAATTCTGCCACGGACACTCTGGCTCCAGGAGCAGCTGCTGCTCCCAGGGATTTCCAGAAGCTGCTCAAGTGAAAATTGGGCTCCTGCTGCCTGTTATGCAAAAGCAGTTTCTTAGCAACAAAAGTGATATTCTGTGTGAAGGCAACAGGCATCAGTGGGATAATCCACTGTAATTCCAGACAAGACCTAAAACGGGTGGATGGACTGAATAATAATCATGACAGACAGAATAATAATAATGGAAATAATGAGACTAAGCTTATTTCCCTGGGTAGGAGAAACCCAGCTATAAATAAAATACAATGGGAGAAACCCTGTGCCCGTTCTCTCTATAAAGATTAGGGGCACTTAAACTCAACTTATGCCCTAAAAATAGACTCTGGTGAGTAAAGCTTTGCTCATCTAAGGTGAGCTATTTATTGCTTGAGTGTTTTCCCTCACTCCAGGCTGGTATTTTCACTCAAGGATGGAGCGAGCTGGACATAATGTCCCGTGGGGGGAATTGGAGCGAATAAATCTGTGTTCGCTGGTGGGGACGAGGTTTTGTCACCTCGAAGCAGGAAACTCGTACTTTAAAACGCACCATCAGACCTGTGCAGGACCCTGGGCTGGGCTGCGTCATCACTGTGGCTCCTTTACAGCTCAGGACATTATGACTTCATAAAACCTGCAAGTAAACCACGCCAGATTAATGCTGTGCAGCCGCAGTGTTTTGAAGTGCCATAACATCAAGGAATTTAAGAGAAATAAAACCGCTATGAAATCAGCACACGCGGGGAGCCACAGACACACCTGGACAGCGCCCGGTCCGCGCGGGGCACAGTGGGAAGCGTAGTCCCGGAGCTGGAGAAGCCCCGTTAGCGGCGCTACAGCCGCGGGACGAGGGGACTACACTGCCCAGCATGCCCCGCGAGGAGAGGGTGCACATCCTTCCCACCTCTCCCCCCGCCCGCTCTGCCTCCTGGGAAACAGAGTGCGGGCGGCGAGGCGCAGAGCGAGCGGTTCCGCTCCCGGGACTACAGTTCCCATCATTGACCGCACGTCCCGCTCCGCCCCGCGCGGCGCCATTTTGTTCCGCAGCGCAGCCTGAGATGGCGGCCGGGCCCGGGCGGTGAAGGTCCCGCCGCGCTGAGGGCAGGGGGGTCCCGCCGCCCCCCGCCCGCCCCGCGCCGCGCTGGGGCCGCGCCGCCGCCGCCTGTCCATGGCCTGGAGGCGGCCGCTGGCGCCATGGACCTGCGCACGGCCGTGTACAATGCGGCCCGCGATGGGAAGCTGAAGCTGCTGCAGAAGCTGCTGGGCAGCCGCAGCCGGGAGGAGTTGGAGGCGCTGACGGCGGGGCCCGGCGGCGGTGGCGGCCCCGGGGCCGGTAGCACTCCGCTGCTGATCGCGGCCCGGCACGGGCACTTGGAGGTGGTGGAATACCTGCTGGATCACTGCGGGGCCCGAGTGGAGGAGGGCGGCTCCGTCAGCTTCGACGGCGAGACCATCGAGGGGGCCCCGCCGCTGTGGGCGGCCTCGGCTGCGGGGCACCTGGGCGTGGTGCGGAGCCTGCTGGACCACGGCGCCTCGGTGAACCAGACCACGCTGACCAACTCCACCCCGCTGCGGGCCGCCTGCTTCGATGGGCACCTGGAGATCGTGCGGTACCTGGTGGGCGAACGCGGGGCCGACCTGGAGGTGGCCAACCGGCACGGCCATACGTGCTTGATGATTTCCTGCTACAAAGGGCACCGGGAGATCGCGCGGTACCTGCTGGAGAAAGGGGCCGATGTGAACCGGCGCAGCGTGAAGGGAAACACGGCCTTGCACGACTGCGCCGAGTCGGGCAGCCTGGAGATCCTGCAGCTCCTGCTGCGCTCCAAGGCCCGCATGGAGAAGGACGGCTATGGCATGACCCCTCTGCTCGCTGCCAGTGTCACCGGCCACACCAACATCGTGGAGTACCTGATCCAGGGGGGGCTGCGGCAGGGCGAGGCTGCGGGGAGCCAGAGCGGGACCTGTGCCTCAGGTGGGAGCCATCAGAGCGGCTGCAGTGAAGAGGGCTGTGAGGGATGTGGTGCTTCAGCTTCCAGTCAGGACGAGGTCCCGAACGTGTTCTGCACTCGAGAGGCCGCCGTGGAAGCGCTGGAGCTGCTGGGTGCCACGTTTGTGGACAAGAAACGAGACCTGTTGGGAGCGCACAGGTACTGGCGCAGGGCGATGGAGCTGCGCTGCGAGGGAGGGCAGTACCTGCCGAAACCCGAGCCCCGGCAGCTGGTGCTGGCCTACGACTACTCACGGGAGGTGAGCTCTCTGGAGGAGCTGGAAGCCCTGATCACAGACCCCGACGAGATGCGCATGCAGGCGCTGCTGATCCGGGAGCGCATCCTGGGCCCTTCCCACCCCGACACCTCCTACTACATCCGTTACCGCGGTGCCGTCTACGCCGACTCCGGCAACTTCGAGCGCTGCATTAACCTGTGGAAGTACGCCCTGGACATGCAGCAAGGCAACCTGGAGCCCCTCAGCCCCATGACTGCCAGCAGTTTCCTTTCCTTTGCCGAGCTTTACTCCTACGTGCTCCAGGACCGTTCCAAAGGCACTTTAGCCACCCACCTGGGCTTCTCCGACCTCATCGGGGTGCTGAACAAAGGGGTCCGGGAGGTGGAGAGGGCCCTGGTGCACGGCAAGGACCCCGTGGCCGACTCGGCGCAGTTCACCAAGACGTTGGCCATCATCCTGCACTTGGTTTTCCTGCTGGAGAAGGTGGAGTGCACCCCGGAGCAGGAGCACCAGAAACGCCAGACCATCTACCGCCTGCTCAAGTGCAGCCCCCGAGCCAAGAACGGCTTCACCCTCCTGCACATGGCCGTGGACAAGGACACCACCACGGTGGGGCGTTACCCCGTGGGCAAATTCCCATCGCTGCACGTGGTGAACTTGCTGCTGGAGTGTGGGGCGGACCCGGACAGCCGGGACTATGACAACAACACCCCCCTGCACGTGGCCGCCCGCAACAACTGCCCGCTGATCATGAGTGCCCTGATGGAGGCCGGGGCACACATGGATGCCACCAACGCTGCTGGACGAGAAGCTGCTCACCAAGAGCACCATGCAGCCCTTCAACTACATCACCCTCCAGTGCCTTGCTGCTCGCGCCCTGGACAAGCACAAGATTCCCTACAAGGGATTCATCCCCGAGGAGCTGGAAGCCTTCATTGAGCTGCACTAGGGCGTGACAGCTGAGGGTCCCCAGCCTGTCCCCAGCCTGTCCCACCCTGCTGGGGTTGTGTGGCTGGAGGGCTCGGGCTGGCTGGGCCAAAGTGCCCAGGGCCGTTGCTGTGCTGAGCTTTGTCCCCATCTGTCACCACCCAGCTGGCGTGTCGGGGCAGGGGAGGAAGAGGCCCCAGAGCTGTCCCTCGTTGTCACCTTCAGGTACCAGCTCTCTGCAGTGCACTCTGTCCCCAGATGGCCACAGTCCCTGCCCTTCCCTGTGCCACCATCGTGTCCTGAGAAGGAAGGAAATGGAGATTCCCTGGGACCTGCTGCCTCTCCCATTAGTGCTGGATTAACTCAGTGTTCAGCTTTGGAGCAGCTACACATCCCCCCACGTGCTCTGGCCCTTCCCACCCCACACACCCAACAGATAGAAAGTGATTAAGGAATAAAATACCCTCCAGCTAACCCCTTCCCCTCCCTCCTGTCACGTTTGGGACAGCCCATGCCCAGCAGCCGAGGGGCTCATGCTCTGCCCGGGGATGGCACAGGGCTGGGTGTGCTGAGGATGGGGTTTGTCTCTCTCTTGGTTGGCCAAGTAGCAAATGGTGTTAAAGGCCTGAGATTTCCATGATTGTGCATAAAGCTGGGATGTTTTTTCTCTCGTAGAGCCAGGCCCTATCTATGCTGCAAGACTTCTCCAATCCTGTAAGATAGAGGAAGGTCAGTTCTGGTTATACAGTTTCATCCATAGATGTTGTAGTTTATGAGTGGGGAGGAAAAAAATACTTTAGAAGAAAATCCTGATGTGGTGTTCAGGCCCTTGGCTTGTCCATTCCACACCCATTCACTCCATGCCCAGCATGCTCCTGCTTTGGCTCCAGAGGGCAGCAGGGGTCGAGCTGGAAGGGTGAATGTGGACGGTTTGGGAGCCAAAACAGCACAGTTGGAACTATATTGGAGACCAGGTGGTACCTGCATTGTGGAGGTGCTTGGAGGGGGTTATGAAAGCAAGTGAGTGTGGTGGGTTTGCACCAGGGTGGGTTGAAGAAAGAAGCAAGAAATGAAAGTTGAAGGTGCCTCCTTGTCCTTCGGAGGTTTTAGTATCACCTGCTTGGGCTCTGTTATTGCCCCACTCTGAAACCTCATGCAGTGGGGTTCTTAGCAGCTGGTTTGGGCTTTTGAGTCTTCTTTTTTTTTTCCTTTTTAAAATTTTTTTTTGTAACTTCACTGAGGATGGTGCTACTTCCAAGGTAGAATTTGAAATCTCACCTGGCTGCTGTTTGGGCAAGCTCCTTCCTTTGATGAGGATCTGCACACACCTTGTTTTTAACTCGGTGGTCTCAGGGCAGGTTTTTGCCTCCATGAGCAGAACCCTCCGTGGTGGAAAACAAAAGAGTTTCCAGCAATTTGTCCTTGTGCAGGCAGTGATGGGCAGCCCTGGCTCCTGCCCTGGCCCTGAGCAGGGTGGGAAGCACAGCTGAGGGGGAAGCAGCTGCCTGGAGCTCTGGGAAAGGTCCCAGCTGGGAGAGCAGACCCCTGGCCCCACCCTCGCTCTCTGTGCTACTGAAGCTTCTCTACTTGTATTTATCAGCCTCAATAACCATGCTCTGCCCCTTCCAGATATTGTAGATCTGCCAGTACATTTTGCAGTGTTGACTATAACATTTATTTATAAAGCGAGGAAGTTTAACATGAATTGAGCTGTAAAGTGCAGAGTTAGTTTAGCTGCCTTCTATTTTTTTTTTTCCCCTTTTGGCTGAAACCTGAACTAAACTGCAGGAATGGGATTTGTTCCTTTGTGAGCTGATGAGCGCTCTTAACTTTAAATAATAAAACAAAAAATGGCTGCTAGAGTGCAAGTGCCTTGGACTTCTTCCTGATAAGCCTCTATATTCAGGTGCTTTCCTCTATTTTCAGTTTGTTTCCCAGGGATGGGACACTGGGTGTGGAATCCTGAGGTGTTTGCAATTAACAGGTGTGATTGGTTCATTTCATGGTTACTCCTATGAAAAAGCAATCTGTGCTGCAGGGGAAAACATTTCCTCTGGAACAGAGTAACACTCACACTGAAATGACACCTCTTCTATGTTTTTCCTGATATTTTGGTGTAAATCAAACAGTGTGGGAGGATCTGTGTTGACTCGGGTGTTACCTGCCTTACACACATGGGACAGTGGGCACAGCCAGCAGAAAGAGGGACACGGGGTCATCAGTTTGGATTCCAACCCCAAATCCATCAGGGACGGTAAAAACAGAGGAATGAATGGTACTGGAGTTAGTCCCACACAGGAACCTGGATCCCAAAAACGCTTGGTCTTCCCCAGGGAGGGTGGGTGGATAAAATATTTGAATGTTTGTCCTGTCATTAATTGCTCCATCCTTCGTTCTGGATGCCCTGATGAATGATGGTGCCTTTGTGCTCAAAATGCCATTTGAGCAGTGTCTGTGGAGCCTGGGGACCCAGACATTCCCCCTGTGCTGCTGCAGGTGATCTCCAGGTGTGGGGGGAGCAGGTAAAAGGAGCCAGGTGGGCTCAGGAACGAGGCAGGGGCTGGTCAGGGCAGTTCCCTCTGCACCCAGGGCTGCAGGTAGGACAGGTGGGCAGGCTGGAGCAGCTCTGGGGCTGGGGGATCCAGTCAGGTGCCACAGCCCCAAGGAGGAGAACATTCTGTGTGATGGAAAAGGCTTCACTTTTTTTAAACACATAAATAATCTGTAATTACAGAGGGCCCAACAATTAAATGTTGATAGTAATTACAGGGTGGGAGAAATCACTGCATGATTTAAGGGTAATTACACTGAACAGGCCTGATTGACTGTAGGGCCAGCTCCATGTGGGGAGCAGGGCAATTTTTCAGTGATTATCTTGTTAATTCTTGGACACAGAGGAGTTTTTTCTCCAGTGTGGTGGCTGCAGAGCCTCCTGTCCCCCAGACACAGCTCTCCCTCCCCTTTGTGTGATCCAAGCACGCTGGATGTGGCTGTGCTGAGGTTGTTTACAAGCTGGAGCAGCTTCCAGTTGACTAATTGTTTTTATTTATAGTAGGAGAGGAGCCAGGGAAGGAGGGATATGAGGGCTCCCAAGGGGAGGGACTGTCCTGCACCAACTGCAGTAACACAACACCTCTGAGTGCTGCTCTGGAGGAGAGAAACCAGGAGAGTGAAAGGAATTGGAGAATTTGGAGGATGGCAGCAGGCTCTGGAAGGAGTAGATGAGTTAATCCATTGTCACTGGGTCCTGCAGAGTTAAAATCCAGTCTGGGAGCTGGAAGCCAAGCGTTGGGGGCAGCTCAGAGTCTCCTCCCAGGATTTAGAGATGTCTGTGTCACTCAGGGGCTGCCTTGGGGCTCAGAGGGCTCCTGGACCAAGGCTGCAGTCCAGAATGAGACCCTGAGAGGGCCCAGCTCAGACAGGCCTAGGGCTGGGATGGCCTCTTGGGCTCAGATCCTGCTGGAACCTGCTGGGACAGACACTGGGGACCTGCTGGGGAAGCCAGGGAGTGACAGCAGCACACACAGACCTGCAGGAGTACCTGGTACAGGGTCATTGCCCTGTGCTGATCTCGGGGAGTGGCTCCTCAGGAGCTCTGCCCTGTGCTGGCCCAGGCTGGGCTGGCTCCAGGCCCTGCTCCGGGAGGGAACAGCCCCATTTCCATCTCCCGGTGGCTTTGGGGTGACCTCTGCTGACGATCAGGGAAATGGCTGTGCCTGGAGCGAGGGAGGAGGAGCAGGGCTTCGCTCCAGGTGCCCTCCTGGTGTTACAGCTCAGTGGGTACCAGCCTGGTACATCCCTTGTTCCCCTCCCATTCCTGGATTTCTCCACCCTTCTGCACTACTCTGCTCACTGCTTTTGGTTTTTTATTCCACTTCTTCCTTAAAGGCAGCTTTCCAAAGCATCCCTTGGAGATTGTCCCTCAAATCATTTGTTCAGTGCCATCTCCCAGCCCCTCCAGCCAACATGCAGAATATTTTTCAATATATCCCTGACTATCCCTTTTCATATTCTATGGGAAAGTACCAGAGGAACACAAATAAATTAATTAAAATTTATTTATAAAATCTTCAAGTAGCTCCAGACAATCAGGAAAATAATTTTCTCAGTTATTTGAAAATAAGCACAAGGAAAAACAGTTCCAAGAGATTGCCACGTCTTTTTTCCATCAAAAAATGTAGAATTTTTTTTTGTGCTTCAGGAAAATGGCACTCCTATTGCATAGAATAATCGTCCCACTCCCAGCAGAATCACTCTAATCCAGGCTTTGAGATTGATTTTGTCTCAGACCTTGTGCCTGGTGTGCTCCTGGCTGTCCCCTGGCCCAGGTGGGGCAGTTTCCACCTGCATCACGTTGTGGTTCCCGATCTGAACCATGCGGGCGTTCTGGATGATGAGGGGTGGGATCCCCCCCTGGCCTGCTGTGATGCTGTAGTGGCCTGGGGGGTCCGTGGGGGCAGGGGGACACCAGGGCTGGGCTGATGGCTCTGGTGGCCGTGGTGCTCCTGGAGGCAGCCACGGATGGGAGCCCAGGCTCAGGGCAGCCAATTTCTGCTGGGTTTGGAACTTCCTTCTCTCCATCCACTGGGCTTTCTTCTCCGTGATCCTCTTGGGGCTGAAAGTCTTGTCCACATTCCTGGAGAAGAGAGGAGAGCTCTCCTTCAGGGTCACGAGTGCACTGAGCATCCTGGGGATCTGCCTGCAGTCCAGGGCGTTTTCCTTAGGTAGGAATGGGATGACTGAGTCCTTCTTGGAGGGGTCCAGGATGGACTGCATCAGAGCAGTGTCTGTCTGGAACAGGCACAGCTTGCACGGGAAGTTCTTGGTCAGCAGGAGGATCGTGAAGGCAGAGTTTTCCATGGCCTCCTGGAAGCAAGTCATGTGGCTGCATCCTGGGATGAAGAACTCCTCACTCATTGTGGCACCATTGGGCACTCCCATGCTCTCCAGAAGGTTCTTGACCCGCTGGGCCACGAGCTCATCTTCACTGGCGTGCAGGACAACAAACGTGAAGAACTCTGGCTCTGATGGATCCACAGCTGGATCCTGGAAAGCAGGAGAGGCTGGAGAGGGGGATGAGCGCAGGGGAGGGGGATGTAAAACGTTGGAGTGAGATTCCTGAAGAGGACGAAGAGTTGAGGAGAAGGAATAAGAAGGAGGAGGAAGGGAACAGTTTGAAATAGAAGCAGGTGCAGAGTTACAGGGATTGCCTGGAATGTAGGAATCCTCTATGGACCTGCGGGCAGGAGCAGTATCCACTGCAGCCCTTGGGTCAGGAACACCAGTAGAGATTTTTATCCTTTCATCCTTCTGCTCTTCATTCTGCTCTTCATGCTGCTCGTCTCTTGATGTGTGAGGCTCTGTCACTGTGCTGGACACGTCACTGCTCTGGGCAGGCTCTGAGGGCAGTGGTGTCTCAGGAATAGGGAGAGGGGTGGTGTGACAGGGACTGGGCTGCAGAGCCTTCTCTGGCCAGGGCTCTTGGGCAGCCCTGTCCTGCCCAGGGGCAGAGCTGGGTGTGCTGGCCCAGCTGGACTCCTGCGGGCCATGGCTCTGTGTGTCCCCATCAGGGTGTCCAGCACTGCTGGGCCAGGGGACACACTCGGGGACAGAGGGCTGGGTGTGAAAAGCAACTGTTGGTGATGCACTGATCTCCAAACAGCTGGACAGGGAGGCGCTCCCCTCAGAGCACAAGGTCCGTGGGCGTGAAAGGTCTGAGTTGCCTCTGATCTGCACTGGTGAACTCCTCAGCACGTAGTGGGGGCTGGCTGTGCATGGAAATTCTGCATCCTCATGGGATCTCAGTGTCATAAACCTGTCCCCTGAGCTGGCTGCAGAGCCCTGTCTGTCCTGTTCCTTGGGTGGGATGTTGTTGAGTGTCCCCCGCTGAGTGTCCTTGCTGGCTTTGGTGGCAGCCTGGCAGGCTCTGTCCCCGGCCTCAACACTGCAGAGCTTTTCCTGTGCCAGCACTGAGTACAGCTGTGCCAGCAGTGCCATTGCACCTGCATCCAGCTGGGGTGGCTGCACAGCCTCCCCATCTTTCTGCACTCCTGCAGCGCCCAGTTTGATCTGCTGGATGTACTGGGCTGCCTGGTTATCCCTCAGGGCATCCAGACAAATCCTTGCATCCGTTTCTTGCCCCAGAGTGAGCAGGACCATAGCTTGCAGTGCCTTGCTGCAGGGCCCGGGTTTCGAGTGCTTCAGTTTGAGTTTGAGGCTCAGCAGTTTCTCTGATGGGGCCTGGCACAGAATGTTGAACACATCCTCGAAGCTGGGCTGCAGCTCAGCGCTCTGAGCCATCTCAGCAGCCTCTGGCCCGGAGCACAGACTGCAGCAGGGATGGGAAAAGCATCTTATGGCACAGGGTTGGCTGCCTGTGGGGCTGGGGGTGCCCCAGTCGCACTCCTGGTACCACAAAGTGCCCACAGGGCTCGGATCTGTGAGGAGAACAGAGAACAGTGGTCAGAGGGGTGATGTGGGTGCTCCTGGAGCTGCCAGGCTCTCTCTCACACCTCCCAAAGATTTTTGCATCTGTCCCGTACTTGCAGCTGCATTATTCCAACTCCGTGATTAAGCATTCTTTGTGTTAATTTCACATTAATTACAACTGGTTTAAAATAATTGATGCAATAAGGCTATATTTAGGTACATCCAAGTGTCTCCTCTAGGCAGCTGGTTCCAGGGCTCTTGCAGGCTCCTGGTGCTGGCAGTCAAGGAATAAAACAGGTGTAGAGGAAACCCTTTCCAGTCGATAAACCTGTGTTATCAGGGAAGATGCACAGGGAACAATTCCTGCCCAATATCCCATCCAGCCCTGCCCTCTGGTAGTGGAAGCCATTCCCTGTGTCCTGTCCCTCCATCCCTTGTCCCCAGTTCCTCTGCAGCTCTCCTGGAGCCCCTTCAGCCCCTGCCAGGGGCTCTGAGCTCTCCCTGGAGCTTCTCCCCCAGCTCTGCCAGCCTGGCTCCAGGGCAAAGGGCTCTTGGAGCAGCTCCATGGCCTCCTCTGGACTCTCTCCAGCAGTTCCACCTCCTTCTTTCATTGGGAGACTTTAGATCCCCGTCCACAGGTGATCCCTGAGCCCCCACACTCACCCCAGGCCTCTGATAGGATTTTAATTAAACAACAGGAGGGGAGGAGCGGATTCCTAGAGCGGTTGGACATTGCTCCAAGCTCTGCCTGAGCCCGCTGCAGGAACTTTCCTTATTTAAAGGCAGCCCCAGCAAACGCCCTGAAAGAGCTCTCAACTGGGGAAAGTTACCAATTTCGGTTTTGTTTTCCTGTTTCATGAAAACCCTAGAATTGCCCAATTGCCCTCGCTCCCCGTTGGGCCAGCCCTGCCCCGTGTCGCCCCGGCTGGCCCGGCCGGGCTGGAGGAAGTTGGAGCTGGGACCGGGGCAGCGCCGGGACCGCGTGGCCGCTCCCCCGGCAAGGGAAGGGATCGGCCGGGAAGGAAAAGGACGAGCCAGGAAGGGAAGGAAAGGGAAGGGGTCGGCCGGGAAGGGAATGGACCAGCCAGGAAGGGAAGGGATCAGCCGGGAAGGGAAGGATTCAGCCTACCTGCGGCCGGTGTCCGGGACAGGCGGAAGCGGCGTGGGGCGATGGGCACGGCCGGGGCGGAGCGGGGCGGACCCGGGGCTGGGACAGCACAGCCCGGGCTCCAACCCCGGCGGGAGAGCCCTGGGCCTGTCCCCCACCTTCACCAGCCAGGGCCAGCCCTGCCCGTGTCCCCCGAAGGTGACACGGAGCGCTGGGGACAGGCAGGGCCGGGCAGTGCTGGAACCAGGGGTGAGCAACGCAAAGCCCAGGATCCAGAGGGAGCTGGGGGTGAAGAGGAAGAGTGGGGCACGAACAGAGGCACCTGAGCCTCAGGAATACAGAATAACAATAGGGGTACAAAATAATTAAGGTATTTTTCTGCTTAAGAAAGCATGGGACCTGCTAAAGGCTCTTTGTTTTTCCCCTCCAGCAAGAGCAGGGAACAGACACGCTGGCCAGGGACAAGATTTGGTAAAGGCAAGGCTTCACCACAGCTCAGGTAAGGGGAGAACACAACAACTTCAGCTTTAGGGACACACAAACCCACAGAGCTTTGAACACAGGTCACACTTTATTGCGGTGTCTGCTCACCAGCCCTGGCACAGGGACAACGCCAGAAACAGTTACCAAAATAAGTTACATTAGAAATCGTTACAAAGTAGTGTTTTCTGGGAAAGAACCAGCCCCTGGATTTAAATCCCCCCTATTTTAGTTACAAGATATCCTAATCCCATGACAGAATAACTCCTGGGAAAAGCTGCCTCAGTTAATGGCTATGAAGTGTTTTACACATGGAGTTACTTACAGATAATCCCTGAAGCCATTCACAGAACTAGAAAAGATGATTAAAGAAAAGCCCACACTGCCAAGTGAAGGAAAAAGTGTTTGGCTGATCCATGAAAATAAATCTCTTCTTGAGAAGCAGCTCCTTGCCCCCAGCTGTGCCAGATGTGCTGCAGGGCCGAGCCTCCCCGGAAGCACAACAGGCACAAAGGAAGTTGTGTTTTTAAACGTGGAGGAGGCGGGAAATGGTATCAAAGGTCAAGCAGAGCATTTGGGTGAATTAAAAACAAATCCAGCATTAAAAATAAGTTGAGATCACTTCTTCTCTCCCACAACTTGTTTCAGCAAGATTTAGGCACTCACAGCTACAGCTGGGTTGAGTTAAAAAGCTGAAGTGCAGGTCCCATCTCCCCTTTCAGCACAGCAGTTGGATTTAAAAACAGTAAACTAAGATTCAGAATCTCCCCACCTTGGTTATCAAATTTCCTTACAACTACATCTGACTGTAAATTCAGAGAGTAGAGGCACTCGTGGCACAAGTGGGCACAAAATTAGAAGATCCAGTGCTGTTCTAGCCAAGTAGTCTTGGCCAGAAGAGCTGGAATTTATCAGAGATCTTCCTCTGGTGCACTGGTTTTTATCTCCTTTGCAGCCAGGGCCACCTCTGTGTCCTTCCTTGCCTTCTCCTCTGGCTTCCCCACCTTCTCCTCCAGCTTGTCTAGCACCTCACACCATTTTTCTGAGAGCCTGTTGGTTCCCTTTGGCTCTTCAGGTGCCTTTGTCGCCTCCTGTGATAGTGGAGCCTTTTCCAACTCAGGTAATTTTCTGTCACTCCTCTCTTTCTTCTCGTGCTTTCTGCCATCCTGTGTCCCCTTGGCCATGGCCCTGAAGGGCCCCACAATCCAGTTCAGAGGGGTGTTGTGAGTCACATACTCCAAGAGGACATCGAGGGACCTCCGGGCCTCTGCCACACGGTCCTGGCTGCGGGCCAGGGTGGTTCTGGAGAGGTCCTGGAAGGACACGGCCTTGGAGAAGGAGCTGTGGAGCTTGTGGATGTGTCGAGTGGCCTGAGCCACGGCTTCCTGGACGCTGCAGGGGAGGCCGTGGGTGCTGAGCCGGAGGCGCTCGTAGGCGGGCTGGAGCTGCTGGGTGATGATCCTGAGCATGGCCAGGGTGCGCGGCTCCACCTGCTGGGAGAGACACAGCTCAGCCAGGGCAGGGCAGGGCAGGGCCCGCGGGGCTGCCCCGGGCACCTCCCGGTACCTCTGGCTGGCACGCGGTTCTGACTTGGTTTCCTTTGGGCTGGGTCAGGCTCCAGTCCACCCACAGCTGATGGAGCTTCTTCTGCCCCTCCAGCAGCTTCTGGCCAACCTCCTGTTTCACAGATTCAATCTGACGGGGGAAAAAGGAGAGGAAAGGTTGTAGTGCAAGCACACCCAGAGAGGCACAAGTGCTTCCCTGCCAGGGAAGGATCCGAGGTGACACAGAGCTGGTGTGGGATGGAGGAAGAGCTTCCAGCTGGATAGCAGAGCAGGAAAAGCTACAGACAGGAGGAAGAAGGGCAAAGCGTGTTGGTACCAGTTTTATTGCCAGCTGCAGCCGTGCCAGGGTGTCCTGGGTGCTCTGCCTGAAGCTCTGCAGCTTGGCCAGGGAGTGCTGGTAGGCTCGGTGCCGGATCCTGCCCGACAGCGAGCCCAGGCGCACAAAGTAACTCCTCTGCCTCTTCTGCTCCTCCACCGAGGCCACGCCAAAGCCCTGCACCGTGGTGGCCAGGTTACCTGGAGGAAACAAGAACACAGCTGCAGCTGGGCTCCACTGCCAGCTGGGAGGGGTGGTAGAGGTTGGATCACCCATTGGAAAACACGAAGGCTGAAGCTTGCTGTGGGAGCTGGAGGTTTGGAGTTGCTCGTGTGTTAAAGGCAGGTTTAGTCCCTGCTCAATCTTCAGGTGAGCAGATGATGGAGAGGTTGAAGTGTGAACCCACGAGTTTATTTACTTTGAGGCTGATGGACAAGGACCAGCCAGCAAATGCTTGAACTCAGTCCCATACCATGTGGCAATTTGGTGTTAACAGCCAGAAATTTGGTGACAAATTCAGAGCTACCTGTCTGCTTCAGAAGGTGAGTCTTGCTGTGTCAGGTGCTCTCTACTCACGTGGAAAAGGACTTGCACTTACAAACGCCAGGTAAGGATTTTCTTACCTAGCTCCTCCTCAGTCATTGGGAGATAATGATCCACCAGATCTTCTGACATTCCCAGGACAGACTCCACACCTCCAGCCACTGCCTGGCTCACTGCCTTGGCTTTGCTTATGCTGTTGGTCACCACTGAGTTGGTCATCTCCACACCCTCCTGGAGAGCCTCCCTGCCCTGCTCCAGGGCTGTGTTGATCTTGCTGCTGATGGTGCCATAGGCAGCATCCAGAGCTGTACTGACTGTAGCGGTGACCACGGATTTGGTTTTCTCAACACTGTCTTGAACAGCCCCTTTGGTCAGGTCCACTGCTTCAGTCACCTTGTTGGCCACCAGCTCCTTGGCCCCCTGGGCAGCCCCCACAGCTGCAGTGATGGT